GGGTTAAAACACAGCACTGAGAAGCTAAAGCCACTTCAGCATGAGCTCGATCCCCGCCCTGGGGTCGGGGGTGGGGGGGAGTGATCCACATGGTGCAGCAGACCTCTCCTGACCTGCCCGCTGCTGCCCTCAACAGTGTTCTTCATCAATCGGCCTGTTCTGCTCCTAACTCTGTCTCTGGTGAAGCCTCTCACCGCCCCTGTCCCTCTGGCCTGTACCCAGTTCTGTATGAATAAATAAATCTTTAAAAGAAAAATTAGTTGTCCATAAATCCATGGGTTGATTTCTGGATTTTCTATTCACTTCCATTAGCCTTTGTTCCTGTTCTAGTACCAGGCCATTTTGATTATTATTATAGTACTATATTAAAAAGCAGTGGTTTTGTAATATAATGTGAAGTTTGAAAGTGTGATACCTCCATCCCTTTCCTGTTTAGTCAGGAGAACTCTGGCTACTAGGGGTTTTTTTGGTCATTCCATGTGAATTTTATCAATATTTGTTCCCTTTCTTAATGTCATTGAAATTTTTAATGGAATCTCATTGAATCTGTAAATTGCCCTTGAAAGGATGGCCATTTTGATGATGTTTATTCTTCCAATCCATGAGCAGGGGATGTCTTTCCATTTCTTTGTATCTTCTTTTATGTCTTTTAAAAATGTTTTATAATTTTCTTTGTATACGCACCTTACCTCTTTTGTTAGGTTTACTCCCAAGTATTTGACTTTTTTTTTGTTTCAATTATAAGACAGATTGGTTATTTGCATATAGGAAGGCTACTAATTTCTGTATTGATTTTGTTCCTGCTACTTTACTAAAGTAGTTGATTATTTTGATTAGTTTTTCTGTGGAGTTTCTGGGATTCTCTATGTATATTATCATATCATCTGTGAATAGTGATAATTTTGCCTCTTCTTTCCCTATTTGGATTATTTGTATGTCTTTATCTTGTCTTATTGCTCTGGCTAGGATTCTCAGTATTATATTAAAAAGCAGTGGTAAAAATGGAAATCCTTGTTGTTTTCCAGATCTCAAGGGAAAGGATTTCAGCTTTCCACCATTGAGAATGACATTGGCTATAGGCTTGCCATATTTTATGTTATGTTCCTTCCATCCTGAGAATTTGAAGGACCTTTATCATAAATGGATGTTGAACTTTGCCAAATGCTTTGTCAGCATTAACTGATTATGAGCATATGTTTTTAATTTTTCTTTTTATTGACATGCTGGTTTACATTAATTGATTTTCGGATGTTGAACCACTCTTGTGTCCCTGGAATAAATCCTACTTGGTCATGGTGAATTATCTAGGTAATGCATTGTTGTATTCTGTTGGCTAGGGTTTTATTGGGAATTTTTGCACTTCTCTGATGCTTTTGTACCAACTTTCACTGACGTGTGTCTAGTCAGATGTGCTCAGCTTTTGTACCTGCAGTAGTTCACAAGACACCTTCAAGTCAATGACTACAGGTCATAAATCTCTGCTATGACAATTTGCAGACAGAAGTGAAGTGTCTTGAAAAGTGGCAAGGGGCATTCCTTATTTTGCCTAATCTTGCTGCAATGGCTATTGGGATCTCTGTTTTCCTTTTTTTTTTTTAAAGATTTATTTATTTGTGCATACTGAACTGGGGTACAGGCCAGAGGTGCACGGACAGTGAGAGGATTCACCAGAGGCAGAATGGGAAGCAGAACAGGCAGATCTTCGAAGTGCACTGCTGACGGGAGCAGCGGGTGGCTCAGGAGAGGCCTGCGGTGCCATAAGGGTCAGCTCATTGGCCGAGGAGGATCAAACTCATGCTGCAGTGGCTTTGGAGAGCTTCATAATGTGGGGCTTTAACCCGTAGCACCACCAGGGAGAACCCTCTGTTTTCTATTTTTAAAACACTTTTTCTACATAAGATTTACAGAGTTAAATTGTTATTAACTTGTCATAACTTTGATAATTAGATTCTATCTCTGACACCAGATTGCACCTGTTCTTTCAGGCAGAATGTTTTTGTCTTGCTCAGTTGTTACACCATCAAGTGGTTAGAAATACAAGGAAAGGAGTTCCTAACAGTGAGCTGGTGGGTTCCTGGGCTCTGTGACAGAAATACACAAGTGCCGGAGATACTTTGCATCATTAAGCAATAACAGTGAGAATATATCTCTGCTTTGGAAGTGCTTTACTAGTAGTCATGCTTATAGTGTTTGCCTTAAGGAGGATGGCAGGTAAAGATAAAGCATGGGGGTGCTCAGTAACATGTGCTTTAGATCAGTGTAAAATAGCATAGTGCGTTTGAGCAGTTTATTTGTCTTCCTGTTTTATAAGCTTTTCTCCAATATTATGATAAAATCACCTACTCCTGACAACCTGGCACCACATAGCAGCTTTCCTCTCTGTGTTCAGAGACACAGGCCAGGTTCCCCTGGCAACCAGCATTGCCATAAGGTTTCCTCTTTCGTGTTTTGCCCATTTTGGCTTCCCTTAATTTTGGCCATTATTTGCTTTAAAAAAATAGGGGTACACAAGTGAAATGAAACTACTTTTATGATGATTAGTAAGTTTTTGCTTTCAAAGATCTAATAGAGGGCTGTCCCTGGTGGTGCAATGGGTTAAAGCACAGCACTCTGAAACTATCATAGCCCCTGCAGCCTGAGTTCGATCCCCTGCCAGGAAGGTGACCCACATGGCGTGGCAGACCTCTCCTGTCTCACCCACTCATCTACCTGTTCTTCTCCCCATTCTGTCTCTGGAGAATTCTCTCACTCCCACAGCACCTCTGGCCTGTACCCCAGTTCTGTATGCATAAATAAATAAATCTTTGAAAAAAGATCTAGTAGAGACTTCTTATCAATGATCAAAATTATAACTACATCTAATAGTTCAGGGGTTCTGGCTGATTTCTGATTCTGCTTTCATTATACAAGTATTTTTCCCAGCAAAACCCCTTTACACACAGTATGGGTGAGTATGTGAGATGTGAGATCAAGGCTTTGGATGATTGAAATTGGATCAACTTAAAAACACCCTTAAAGTTCTTTACCTTTTTAAAATGAATTCTTATCAGATAATACCTCCTACTTCCCTCCCTTATTAAATATACTCTCCTATATTTGTTTTACCTCTTGGGAAAGAATAGTTTTCCATTTATCCCCTTACATGAAAAGGTCCTGTTCAATCAGCAGTTGGCAATAGCCAGAAACACCTGTGTTTGAAACCAACTCTAACATCACCAGTTGTATGAGCTACCTGTGTACTAGATAATATAGATATATATACATACATATACCTATACATACATATGCACATATACATATATATGTACATATACATACATACATACATATGTATATAAACTGCCAATGTGGGAAATGAATGCATAAGAAATACAGATGTCATAAATAACCTTTTAGAAATGTGTCACTCATATTAAATGCAATAAAATAAGAGCTATAGGATAGGTGATCGTATGTAGATTGTTTTTGCCCTTCCAGTTATTTTCCTTTATCATGATATTTTTACTTTCTTTCTGACTTGGACATGGCTCCAAATGACATTGCTGACAGGCAAATAAAACCTATTGCTAGGTTGTGTTGGAGGTAGCATAGTGTAGCACTGGCAGGAAGTGAGCCCCAAGACATCTGGAGACAATTTGACTGCCATCTTCCTAACTCAGACATGGCCCTCAGATACATAGAGGATCCAGCATTCATATGTTTCTGAAGCAGATGTCATCTCTTAATTGAATTAGACTTAGTTATAAGATTTGATGAATCTTGTTTTTAAAACTCCTAAGGCATCTAGGATTGAAGGAATACCATAAGGCAAAAGGTCTTCCTTTTCTCCATCTCATACTGGTCTATAGTCTGAAGAGTTGTGCTTTCTGCCCATGTGGTAAGTCTGTGGGTCAAATCACTCCTGGGGGCCTCATGGTATTTTGAAAAAAATAGGAGCTCTCTTGTACTCTCAGTGATGGGTGGAATAACTGGATCAACCATTGTATGCCAAAGATGTGAGCTGTAGGAAGGAACCACTTAGGATTTTTGGACTTCTGGTATCATGACTTCATTACCTAAGTGGGAAAGGGGAAATTCCTCCCTCTTCAGGGACTTCAGCTCAGTGAGTCCTGGCTCCTCTCCTCCAACCCACCTTTGTCTTCTTACCTTTTTGTCATTATCCCACGTGAGGGCTTTTTCTCACCCAGAGGAATCTGGCAGAGCTCTTTGGATTAACAGTGATGCAAAGAAATTATATTGATGGAATTTCTCAATGAGGGTTCAGATTCTGGGAGATTTTTAGAGAGAAAGTGCTATATAGTGAGGGAGAAGTGCAGAGAACATGATAGTTGCAGGGGTTAATGTGAGAGACAGAGATATTACTACTTACCTAGACAAACACTGATGCCTAAGTAAAAAGAGTGTTGATATTACACAACACAGGCAGTACCTGTGAAGAGCAGCCTGTGTGTAGCTCCAGTTAGACTAAAATGAACAAAAAACACAGAATGCTTTCATTCATGCACAGTAGATTGCTAATATTTGTAATCTGGTCTTAATTGGATCACTTTGCCACTTTATTTGAATGGTTATTCACATAAACAAAGCTGTGATTTTTATTGACCAGGAAGGAGACATGTCCTTAGAGCTATGCATATTAACAAGTGCTAATCTATTATGAATAATCCAAATGTATACTTGCATTCAGTAGGCGAACCGTTTCTATTAACTGAAAATCTATGGCTCACTTTCTTAGGACCCTGGGAAGCCCATCTGGCCATTCGAGAGAAGCTTTGATTTGGTTCTGGGAATTTCAGCCGCAGGGTGGGCTGACTGAACCAGCTGGAGGCCGGGACTGCACCTGCTTCGGAGCCGGAGACCGACCGCCCTAGATGGGCGGGGCATGGAGGGGATGGGCGTGGTTGGGGCGGGGCACGGAGGGGGCGGGGCACGGAGGGGGCGGGCTTCGGGCGGGCTAGGTACTTGCTCCCGCCGAGTCCTCACCGCCGAGGGTACCACCAGCCGCCAGTCTTGCTAGGCGCGAGCTCGGCGGCGCTGGGCTGAAAAGGCAACCTTGGGCAAAACGCGGAGTTCGGATCTAAAAGCTGAGGCTCGGCTGGACCGGGGGACGCAAGGTTCAGCATCAACCAAGAAGCTTCCTCGACCCCTCCGCGAACTAGAGGTGAGCTTTCGAGGGCAAAGTCCTTGGTAGCAAGGACTCTGTGCTTGAGGGTCTGTTGTCTCTTAGAGCTCGAAGCAGCAGTCTGGGAGCACTTCCAACAGGGGGCTGTGCCTGAGGTAGCGGGAGAAGGCATCTGAGGAGCCTGGGAAAAGGAGTCAGTACCCTGCGCTCAGAGGCGTGTCTGCTGGGCAGGGTGGCTTCAAGAGGTCAGTCTTTCCTGTTACTCCTCCTGGGACAAGCGAGCCGAGTGGATCTTAGCCGGCTGAGGCGCGTAGGGCTGTCGGCCTCTGCGCGCTGGTCAGGACTCGGCCAAAGTTTGCTTGTCTCGGTCCAACTCGTTCTCTTGGTCCTGCAGCCCCGTCAGGTGCCTCCTCATCTCGCCCTCCAGCTGCAGCCACCGGATCATGGAGTCCCCAGTTCAGATCTTCCGCGGGGAGCCGGCCCCGACCTGCGCCCCGAGCACCTGCCTGAACCCCAATGATAGCAGCTCGTTCCCGGGAACGGCGGAGCCTGACAGCAACAGCAGTGCAGTGTCGGATGACACGCCACTGGAGCCCGCGCACATCTCCCCCGCGATCCCAGTGATAATCACCGCGGTCTACTCCGTGGTGTTCGTCGTGGGCTTGGTGGGCAACTCCCTGGTTATGTTCGTGATCATCCGGTGAGTGCATGACCTGGACGCAACCGTGACGAGCTGGAAGGGGGAGGGTCAGGCCCAGCAGACTGGACGTGTGATATGGCATTAGCCAGGTCCTGTGTCTGGGTCCTGGGACTCCATTGAGTTCAGGACTCCGGAGATCCTAATAAGGTGGCTTAGAAGTGAAGGTTTTCCTGGTAGATATTTTGATGGAAGACTGCGAGGGTCCCTGGGGGAATACTAATGGCCAAATGCGTCTGGAGGATTGGCGTCACCCCCTAGACCCTGCTGAAACTTTATGGGCAGGGAAAGTGCTAAGGTGTGGATCAGGGTGCATCTCCTGATGAGGAAATTAGTGCATTTGCCTGGATTTTTGCCTGGCTGCCTGCATCAGTTTGGAGCACGTTGTTTTGCTCTTAGTATATATTTAAGAATTTTAAGTCCACTGAATGTTCTGAAGATAACTCAGAATTCCTGTGACTCAGACTGGTGCTATGGTTTGTGACCCAAATGCCAACATTTTGTCTAGGGTTGTTGGGGTCCACACTGAACCTTTTTAGTATTGAAATGCCATCACATTTGTTTAGAATACCAGTGAACTGTTGTGAATAACTTATCCTCTAAATTATGGATTGTAATGCTTTTTTTTTTTTCATTTTGTCCCTTGAAATGTTATTTTGTGAAATAACATTTAATTTAATGTTGAGTAATAGATATTCAAATATTCAAACATATACTGTCTTTCTGGTAAGTGCTGTAATTCTTATTTTGCCCTCTTTCAACAACGAATAAAAAGGGAAAACAAACAAAAATCCCTACTTTATATTATATATATCCCTACTTTATATTAAATACCTTCTGGAAGACTTAATGCTTCAGTAATGCAACTCTGAGAATGAATAAGAAGCTTGCATTCCTTTGAGAAGAAACTGTGAAATGAAAAAAGCAAGTCCCTGTTTAGTAGCATTGTAAGGGTGAAGAGCTGATTTCTTTCTTTTTTATCCTTACTAGTTGTGAGGCAGGTTCTTTATTTATTATGAGCACTAAGGACAATATCTACAGCAGCTTGGCATTTTCTCTTGAAATAGTCATAATAAAAATGCCCCTTTATCTTTTTTCCCTTCCCTTTTTTTCTTGGGGATGTCAACTCTTTCATCCTCATACTCATCAACTAAAATCCTCATTTAAGCCTCCAAATACCTATTATAAAGCTAATTTGCCTACAATTAGTGTTGGTACCCTTGGTTTCTGTAATTGCTTATTGCATTTTACAGGAAGTCTATCAGTGATGAGTAAAGCTTGCAGAAGAGGAAATATTTTAAAAGCAAAATGTTTTTCAAAGTCATTAGTAATTTTACAATTGCTCTACATTAGAAAGGAGACTATAGTAACCCAAAGAAAGTAGAAAACAGTATTCTTTGTTAGAATTTTAAAATGTAGAAGCTCTTTGGTACAAATATGGTTGTTTTAAATAAAACATTTTACATAAAGGAGACGTCAGAAAAAAAAAAAAACAACTGTGTTCCTACATATATTTAAGTGATTGAGTAAAACTTGGATCTTCAGTCATTTGAATGAGCAGCTCAAGTTCTGAGCTTGAGAAATTCTTGTTCTACAATTTTTTATGTAGCCATGCAGACACAGTTAAAAACAATGAAGAATGCTAAAATATTTACAACAATGGCTCCACAGAGAACATTAAACATGTCTGAAGGGAAAAAATAAATCATTATATTAACTAAGATATTATAATAAATAGAAATTAAACGTTTACATATCCCAGACTTAAATAATACAAAGTGATAAGTTCTGTTAAAATACAAAACTAAGTAGCTCACAAAAATATTACTCATCCTCCCACTCTATTTTTTTTTTCCCTTAAGATTTATGCATACAGAACTGGGGTACAGGCCAGAGGTGCGGCAGCAGTGAGAGACTTCACCAGAGACAGATGGGGGAACAGAGCATGCAGATCCACGAAGTAAACTGCTGAGAGGAGCAGTGGGCGGGCTAGGAGAGGTCTGCTGCACCATGTGGATCTCCTCCCATGTGGGGATCGAACTCATGCAATTGGCTTTAGCTTCTTAGTGCTGTGCTTTAACCCACTGCAACACCAGGGAAGGAGTGGGAGGGCCCATCTCACCTATTCTTAATAAGTAAGAAAGAAGCTATACTATTGTCTTGAAGGGCAACCTACTAAAACAGTAATTTATTTAAATCTATAGTTCAGAGGATGAAGAAATTAGACTAATAGTCAATGAATTAAAAAGCAACCTCAGGAAAAGGTTTGATGGACTGAGGTTTACTTTACTTAAAGAAAGAACTAAAGAGTGGAGAGAAGGGAGGATCAAGAAGAGTTAATAAAGAAGAGTCAAAAGCTAATTGATATTGCATCTAGGAAGTGAACAAAATCAGGATATGGAATTCAAATGCAGCTTTTATAAATGATGTTGAGGAATGAACAACATTGCTTGAAATGATGGAGGAGCATTCTTGAGAATGCATTTTTAAAATAATATACATGCAGACAAATGTTGGGAGTTCACTCATGAAGGGAAATGTTTAAGAGATGAAATTAGAAGTTCAGAGTATGGAGCTGATACATATCTAAGGTGGCAGTCTTCTGACCTGGGAAAAAAGTTAAAGCAATGGAGAAAGCTTTGGAAATTTTTAGAACTTTCTTACAAATAGCTTTTCTCAACTGAGATACCCAGAAGCTTCTGAAGACATTTCAAGTTTTGAGGGTTTTTGCATTTAATGTGGACCGACTGCTATAATACCCTAATATTAGAATACATTAACCGTTTACTGTGAAAAACCTTAATATTTGAGCTTTCTAATTTCCCTATCACCAGCCTTGTGGTCCTTGGGTGAAAAGTTCTTACCTCAGCGCTTTTTCTATCAGTGCCTGGCTGGTGACTTGCAGGGTCCGCATCCTGTGTTCTCTTTATGCCTTCCTGTGAAGGCCACCTACAGAGATGCCCACTCGTACTCACGCCACAGACATGACCAGGCAGCTCTACCTCTGACTTCTTAAAACATCATTATCCTACTCTCACTACAGCTTCCCAAATGTAGAGCTGCCTTTTCCCTTTGTAAAAGTGATTAAGATATAATGAACACTTAATACAAGCCTAGCTGGCTTAAGCTACCCACTTCATGTAAAATACTTGATTTTCACATATTGCCCACAGTTACTGTGCCTGTTAACACATGATGAAACTAAGGCAAAGAAAGGTGAAATAAAGAGTCTTGCTAACTTGTGGGCATTCCAGCAGCCTGACCCCAAATCCTGATCTCTGTTATTCATTTTCTACTAGACCACTTCTGCAAATGTCTTACGACCTCCTTATCTGGCCAGCCTTCATTTTCTCCCAGATTATTTTTCTTGCTGACCTTACTCCGTGGGCTATCATTTCAGCTTGTCCTTACAATACATTTAACTGCCTCACCCTCTTGTCTTTTTGCCTTTGTCTTCCCCCAAACCTTAACACTGGATCATGTGGTAACCTACATTCCTTGTTCCTATACTCAGATAACTGAAAGCTGCTGAATACAAATCAATTTTATCTTCATCACGACAAATTCATTGCCTTCAAGTATATCTAACCTCAATTCTGCCTGTTTTTCTGTCTTCCCTTATTTTCCCAAGGGAGCCAAATCTTGTTTCCATTCCCCATTTTTTTTTAAAGATTTATTTTTATTTGTGCATACAGAACTGGGGTACAGGCCAGAGGCTCAGGGGCGGTGAGAGGCTTCACCAGAGACAGAGTAGGGAGCAGAACAGGCAGATTATACTGTCTTTCTGGTAAGTGCTGTAATTCTTATTTTGCCCTCTTTCAACAACGAATAAAAAGGGAAAACAAACAAAAATCCCTACTTTATATTATATATATCCCTACTTTATATTAAATACCTTCTGGAAGACTTAATGCTTCAGTAATGCAACTCTGAGAATGAATAAGAAGCTTGCATTCCTTTGAGAAGAAACTGTGAAATGAAAAAAGCAAGTCCCTGTTTAGTAGCATTGTAAGGGTGAAGAGCTGATTTCTTTCTTTTTTATCCTTACTAGTTGTGAGGCAGGTTCTTTATTTATTATGAGCACTAAGGACAATATCTACAGCAGCTTGGCATTTTCTCTTGAAATAGTCATAATAAAAATGCCCCTTTATCTTTTTTCCCTTCCCTTTTTTTCTTGGGGATGTCAACTCTTTCATCCTCATACTCATCAACTAAAATCCTCATTTAAGCCTCCAAATACCTATTATAAAGCTAATTTGCCTACAATTAGTGTTGGTACCCTTGGTTTCTGTAATTGCTTATTGCATTTTACAGGAAGTCTATCAGTGATGAGTAAAGCTTGCAGAAGAGGAAATATTTTAAAAGCAAAATGTTTTTCAAAGTCATTAGTAATTTTACAATTGCTCTACATTAGAAAGGAGACTATAGTAACCCAAAGAAAGTAGAAAACAGTATTCTTTGTTAGAATTTTAAAATGTAGAAGCTCTTTGGTACAAATATGGTTGTTTTAAATAAAACATTTTACATAAAGGAGACGTCA